AAAGCCATAGCAGTGCTAGTCTGTGCTAGTCGTGTGTGTTCCGCGCTGCTATAAACAAAGCCTCCGTGCTCTACAAATCCACACGAAAACTTTTCAGTATCTGCGTAGTTTTATAACAGTGTTGTGCTATCTTCCACATAGGAAAATTAAATGTAAATCCTATAAAATCCAGGACGGATAATATTGTGTTATAAATAATACAAAATATAACAATGGGACAGCCAGGATCTTTCTTTCTGAAGGTTTGTGAACACAAATTTCGACGCGCGTGAGGGAAGGCTGTAAAGATTCACTGGTGGTTGGCAGCGTTGCCAAATATTGTCCAAGTTGAACAGCAATTGAGTTTACAGACGGTAAAAGAGAGGAATACGAAGGGGTAGGTTTCAGTAGGTGTAAGAACTGGATACGGGAAATCAGTGCTGAAGTTCGTCCGCGGTGGAGTTGAGGAGGCGGACGAATTAAACATGAAGACGAGACGTGATTCTAAGATGACGCCTCCCCAACATCCCCTGTGCTTCGTCCTGGTGATTTCAATAATGTGCGTCCTCCCAGGCATTGCTCAGAATGAAAATGTGGAGTACTCATCGGTGTTCACAGACACTGCGCTGGAAAGTGGTAAGTACAGATTTATGTGCGTGCATGACAGTTTCAAGTGTAACTAGAGCGCTTGTGAAATTAGCAGCGAAAATTGTGCAGATTTAAAAATTTCATGTTGATTTACATTTTCTTCTGTCTTTGCAGCTTTGACGCTGAAGTCTGTATTATGTTTGAAAAAAAACTCCATACAATGCAAATGCCGATTATTTTATCAAATGATTATTCAAATAATTAATAAATTTCACATCAGCTTCACAGATATTTATTGGCCTGTCGTCTCTGTAACAGTTTCTGTCTTCACACTTGCATCATGGTAGCACATGACAACATTTTTTTTCTAAAATACCAATCGATACATGTCGATAGTCTGGAAGAGCTGTCATCGCTCATTACTTAAAATCAACTTCCTTGTAAGTTTAGAAATCGCTGTAATTATCATTTTATTTTGTAGTTAGAACCCATCCCTTCTAATTAGCTTCACATGAAGACTTGTGGGCCATTAAAATCGCTGTTTGAATTGTATTTTGAAAAATTGACTTATGCTAGATATTGGAGGTGTTTACATACAGATTGAAAAATTATCATAGTTGCAATTAGGGTTTATACAAAAACCGACTTTCCAAAAAACCGGTTTTCGAATTTTTACAAAAAAAACCAAAGTATAATTAAAACAGTAAAAAATATTTATACTTATTTTAAAAAAATTCAGTTTATTTAATATTTATGGAACTACAAAAGCATAACAAAATAAAATATACTCGATACAAAACCAAATAAAAAAACTAAAATAACTAAAATCCGTACAAAATTTAAATTATAATTTTTTATTTCATTTAATATTTTTCTTCAGGAAATATGATTTCAAAAAACATAAAATGTCCACTGATACAAAATTGCCTGAAATTGAAAATACTCTCTCACTGGCTACTGAACTTGGTTTTATCGTTTTCAGGGCATCAAATAATAAATCTAAATTCTTTGTTCTTTTCAAATACTGAAAATTCGGCCTTCATTGTCTTCGTATTTGATATTTATTCAGGTTCCTCAAGAAACCTATAAATTGATTTTTCCATGGATTCTTTTAGAGCATTGACCTGATTAATAGTTTCTCCTTCTCCGATATATCCATCATCGGAATTTCTTTCCATAAAAGAATTTGGATATATTCTAGACAATATTTTTCCAGATAACTTTATAATATCGAGTTTTGAAGCTAGTGCAAATACACTAGATTTCTTTGTCGAAATGTTTTGTGGATTTTGCAAATATAGCAAAAGGGTTACGAATCCAACTTATATTCTTTCTTGAATTCGTACTTCTAAAGCATTTAATAATTTGGAACTAATTTCAGTCTTTAAATCTTTTAGTTCATTTAACAGAAATTTTTACATATTAATTCCAGTATCTAAAATTAAAAACCGGTTTTTAAAAACCAACAAACCCAAGTTGCAATAAAATTAACGTAAAAAAGTCACTTTCATTTATTACAAACTTACTAACTCAAAAATCCCTTTCTGGATGAATACGACATTATTACAACGCGAAAGCAATTATCATACAAAAGTTTTGATACGACTGGTGAACCTATTAATATTTTATATTCTAATTAAAATGTATTATGGAATTTTGTTCATGTAGGCTTGTTTCTGACTCATAAAGGAGGGATACCATTACAATGTTTTTAATTTGTTGTTAATTACTTATGTTTATAGATGTAGCCTGGATTAAATAATATAATTATTATGTTTCAACTTCTAATTAAATAATTCCTATCAACTTCTAAGTGACAAAAACCTCTCTCTTCTGCTTTTCTGTAAGGGTTCTTAATACGAGGTAATCTGGAGAGAAGTCGATAATAGGGACCTGTATGGAGCCTGGAAGGTCTTGCTGCTGGAGGGCAGGGATTCTCTTGAATTATTTACAACAGAACTCGCCTGTCATCGATCAACTGTTATTACGCGTGACGTAGATTATTTATTTAATAAAATTAATCGCTGATTATGAACAAACTTATTTTCTTACAAGTTACAACAGGCATCTAACACAGCTGGGCTGTAGTCTCGAGGTCTGGTGACCCACAGGACACCCTCCCACCTAATTTAACTCCGGCGCCACCGAGGAACTTCTATTTAAAGTTGTGATATCAGATATACAAGGGATTATGCCTCTATAGAAAGTTGAGAAAATTATATATTCTAAGCAATTTTGCTTGTCTGATTTTCGACCACTGAAAAGCGAAATCATTTCGTGACTTCTTTATCGTCGAATTTTGCACGTAAAAGTGTAAGTGCATCATTAAGTAACTATGAGGACGCCCACAGCTTTAAACTTGACTGCGTGTGGTTTTGTTCTATTTTAAAAAAAACTGTACCCCTCATTACATGAGCCCTGAATCCTGACACGTTTAAGAGTACATTTTTCAAAATATTCTCCCCCGCCCCTGTTTTTGACAGCGTCTGTGCCAACAGTTTCATGACGTTCATTCGAACTGTTCATAAGTTAAACATGTTCAGGATCATGTGGTCCTAAATGATTTTGATATTTAAGTTTTCTATTTATATATATATATATAAATTAAACTTTTTTAATTTTGAATTTCAGTACACACGCCTTAAAATATTTCAATGTATATGAACTCATTCGCAAATAAATACCAAAGAAGCCGTGGTTAACAGAATAAAACCAAGTTTTGAAACCCATCTATTTACTCTATAAACTCTGTCTGTTTTTCTTAAAATACCTTTTAATGAAAATGTACCTATTTTTGGGATATTTTTGTTGAGAAAATGTTCACTCAACACTTCCGTGTACATTAATGTATTTTAAAAATAACTGTCTTCTGGTTTCATCTTCCATCAAGCCACCATGGAAATTTCTTTAAGAAGCGACTAATACGAGGACGTCCTGTCAAGACGGCTGTATCTCTTACCTGTGAGGCTAACTTCCTTAAAAAAAATTGTTAATCCATTATTACAAGTAATTTTATACGTACTTTTCTTTTATCTTGAAAAAAAAAACCTATGTTATTTTATGATAATTATAATTAGCGTGTTATTTTATTTGTTCTATTTGGAAAACTAACACTTGTCCTCAATTTTCCGGGTTTCTTTTCTTTGTTTATTTTGTTAAGAGATGGATAAGGTTTTTTTGAGGTTAGGTTTTGTACGTTCGTAATACGAAAAACAAAGCGTCCAGTAGTCACCACTGCTTTCAGAGCCCTCTGTAGGACTCCGCTAGAATCTATTCAGAGCAAAGGGTATTAGACTCTGCAAGTAACAGATCGATGGTATCGGACAACAGAAAATGACAATCAAATCGCAATCGAAGTTCGATGTCAGCCACATTGCCATCTGTACGAGCTCCAATAAGCACAAGGGTTCTGACCTTGTGAGGGGTGCTGAGGGTAGGAGTTTGAGTGACCTGGAGACAGTTCCAGTTGCTACTGTAATTATTGGGATTAATTTTGCTTGAACGTTCCACATTCTCTGTATTTCTATGAGAACGTCCTTCTATTTCAAGATCCTCTCCGATTCCTTCTTAATTAAATTTCTGTCAGTTGGTATTTGCTATATTAATTAAGAGGCAAGTTCCATTTTTGTTTCGGATTATAATATTTGGTTTATTATTTGTGAAGGTTCTATCTGTTCTGACTTGTTGGTTCCACGAAATAGTTATTTGGCTATCTTGAATTCTCTCCACTGCCTTCGGGATGTGTTCATACAAATGTTTCTCTTCTAGATTTATCCCAGCTTTGTTATTATTATTATTATTATTATTATCAATAAATGAATTGAATTATTATTAATATGGTACATTTATATATTTAGTTTCGTTTGTTTGTGTTTGTATTTTTAATGTTTATTATTATTATTATTATTGAAATGAATTTAATTATTTATTATATTTTATCCTGTACTCTGGTTTAGTACTTGGCTGTTATTGGCCTTTTTGGCTGTTGACAAGCATTTAAATAAATGAATTGAAGTCATAATATCAGTACATAGATAGGCCAACCACAAATATTTTACTTACAGAATAAAAACAATTCACAGTACGCGCAACAAAACATACATTTATTATGGAAACAATAGTTGTCCAGTGAGTTGAGCTTAAATTGTAGATAAGTTCTGCGATCATATGAAAATTTAATTCAATTTCTGAATCTGTGTCGTAGTATGTCATAAAATAGTTGAGTTTCTATGGAGTGCACACGCGAGTAATAATTGAATATCGTTTGTCTGTAATGTATCTCACTATAATTACACGATTGTTCATATAATTTGTTTATTAACTATCACACAAGCGATTAAGTTACTGATGTGTGTTCTTTATCGTAGTTCGTGAAGGGGATTCAATACCGAGAAAAGATTTTCTTTCAAATTCTACCCCTTATTTAATATATTTTTCGTATTTTGAAGGACCCAGGCTCCATTCTCGGAAAAAAAAATCTCTGTTTTCCTCAGTATTCCATATAAATCATTAGAAGAGGTCAGTTTCGTCTGCTACCCTATCATTCCTAATTCATTAACAATTATTTACCCGCTGGGGATATTTCAGGTTGTTAAGTTTTCAGAAAATAGACTTGAAAGTAGAACTTCAGATATCGGCCACCTGGATTCGAATCTGTTACCTGACCGCAATCTCACGGGATAAATAACAGAGGAGTGCACTTCAACCAGCGATCAATACTCACTCAGTGGTGTCACTGGCGATGGCCAAGGAATGAAGAACAACCCCAAAGGTCATTGCTTCAAATGCGATCACCTTTATAAAGAACTTACAAAGAGAAGAGATGGTGTTCGTTTGTTCCGAAACGCACATGTGCTTTAAGTGAAATTTATTTTAATTTAAAAAACATTAAAATATTATTATTAAATATTAAAATATTATTACAATTAACATTTAAATATTTAAAATATATTAAAATGATGCTCTCTATCGAAATGTTCGATTTACATTAGAGCATCATTTTAATATATTTTAAATATTTAAATGTTAATTGTAATAATATTTTAATA